CTGGCCTCAAGCAATCCTCCTGCCTGGATCTCCCAAAGTACTAGGATTACAAGCGTGAGCCACTGCACCCAGCCCCCAAATGTGATTTTGAACATTGCCCAAACCTAGCCTCATAATTAACAGAGTGGTAAGGAAATTAGCAAAGGAGTATTTATTTGAAGGGGATTGTTAGCCTAGTGCAACCAAGCCATTTACTCCCACCAAGATATTTGGAAGATCCAGGAAATTTAACTGATGTCTCTTGGTGTTGGAAGAGTGAAACTCGTTCCAGATTCCATCTCAAAAAACACACAACAGTGACAGGCCAATTAGGGCTACCTGTGAATTCAGAGGTAAGAGGGAACCCATGAAGGAGAGACATGCATTTCCAGAGTTTGATATGGAAAAGGTGCTAAGTTTTTTCAAAGCCATAACGCAAGTGGAGTAGAGATCTCTTGAAGTACCAAAGAGTACTTAAATCAGGTGGTGAAAAAGAGGCAGCATGGGATGATGGAGGGTATAAGAGCCAGGATAGGAATTGTAAAAATTCAGCCAAAATATCAGAGACCATATAATGCTCAAGGTACCGTCTTGGTGTGGTAAGTTTCTCTGAAGGACCCACAAACAGTCCCCAGGAGAAAAAAACAGCCAGCACTTGGGCATTTGTCATGTGGATGACAGCAAAACCACCAATCTAGCAAGACCCTTTGGCCCTATAATTTCCTGCCTCTGCCTTCACGTTGCTGAACAGTCAAGCGGGGGAACATGGAGAGGGAAGACACCCACCAGCCCCTTCCCCTCTGCAGGTGTCCATGCCTGGGTCAGGCTGGAGCTCGGGGAAGGTGATAAATGTTAAAATGTTGAGCTAGCTAGATGAGTGATCAAAGTTTTTATTTATCTATGTGTACTGGACTTCACACATACATACTCACATAATGTTGCTTGATATGTAATAAATTCACATGATTCAAAAATGAAAATATTGTGAAAAGTGCTTGATGAAAGTCTTGCCTCCACCCTGGTCCCAATTTACTCCATTACCCCATAAATTTCTTGTACATCTTTCCAGTGATTGATTACAAGTTTTTATTTCATATGTTTTCCTTCCTCTTTTCATGGAAGGTAGTACATGGTCTTCCATTCTGCTTTTTTTTTTTTTTTTTTCACTGAACAAGGAAACTTGGAGATCCTCCTAAATCATGTTCTGAACTTTTTGGCATTTGACAACAAGAAATTTCACTAATAACTGACAGAAAAGACCCTGGTGAGGGCTGTGCTTCACAGGTGATTCTTTTTTCATTCCCAGAACAGAACTCTTCTATGAAGCCATGGTTTGGAGATACAAATTAAGGGAAAAAAGGCACATTTTTAAATTATAAATTATAAATTATGCCCAGAATTGTTTTCCTGGTTAACTTTTGTGGAATGTATATAAATGTATGTGATTCTTTTAGGTGAACGAAAGATCCAAAGTATAAATTTTTAAAAATTTGTTGTTCCTATAATTTCCTTGCTCCTTCATTTTCATTATGCTTTAATTGTTCACAAGTTGACTGACCTTAACAGGTTTAAGATTTCTTCAATCTGTCCTTGACTATTTTATTTTACATTTACCTATAACATATAAGAACTTTTATGAAAGAATTATTTATAGATTTGCATCATTCATCGTGTAATGGCATAATGCTAACTATCTGGTTAGCCTTAATGTCCTGTCTTTCATTTGATAGATTATTATATATTTATTCATTTTTCTGTTGTATTTCCTTTCCCTGAAAATTATGACTCTGTAGTTATTTTGCTAACTCATTTAAGCATATGTTACATTTAAAGTATAGTTCTTTTTTATTTGAAAATCGCTCTTCCGAGAGGAAAAGAAGTTAAGCACAATGCTTAGCTGCTCCATGGTAGAAATTTAATTTTTTTCTTTTTTGCTTCTTATAACAAAACATCTCAGCTCTTAATACCACATCATTCCTAATTTTTACTCACATGATGCAAAACTTTTCACTCATTTATCTAATGCTCCATGGCATTGTGATTTTTAAATTAGATTAATAATAACACCTAGAATTTGTATCATCTTCAAAGGGCTCTTAGTTTCATTATCTCACATTAGTCTCACCACAATCCTATGCAGTTGGCAGGATGATTATTACTTTCTACATTTTACTAATGAGAGAATTAAAGCTCTTAGAAGTAAAATGGTTTGCCAAAGGTCATAGAGCAAAGAATTGGAAAAACTGGGACTCAAAACTAGCCTTGACTTCTTACTTAGTACTCCTCTCTGTGTAGCTGACTCTTCTCAGAGTATTGCTATAAAACAGGATGGCTTTTAAGGACCTCTGAAAGATTTAAATGACAATGCATAAAACATTTCAATAGCTGTAATTATAAATCCTGTAGCTAACATGCATTAAGGGCTCACTATATGCTAAAAACTCTTTTAAGCATTTTATATGTACTCTTTCATTTAAAAATCACAACAACCCTATGAGATTGAAACTCTATTATTATCATTTTGTATGTAAGGAAACTGAATCACAGAAAAGTCATATAGCTTACCCAAGGGAACACAGGGAATACACTGAAGAGTGGGATTAGGGCTTTGGCAATCTGACTCCAGGCCTTGGGCTACTAAGCACCATTCTCATCCTCATCCCACTTGTAACATTTAACTAACCGGTGACTTCAGAGACTGACTGGAAGATGGATGAAAGTTCACCTGCTGTCAGTGTCATCAGTGATACACAGATTGTGTTGCATCTCTTCCCAATTCTGCCTTCAGTGACATCACATTGGTAGCTTAAAATGGGCCACAGTGAAAGTATTTACACCATGGAAAAAGACAAATACTACAAATCAGAATTTTTTTTTTTTTCCTGGAGATCCTATTGTTAAACACTTACCATTATACCACTGGTTAAGATTACCCCTTACGAATCTTCTAAGAGCTGTGTTTTATGACCAAAATATCAGCAATAATACTAATGTGGTTTGATTTCCTACATATTTAGTAAGACACACAGCAGTAAACTGAGGATGTTTCTGCTGAGATGTGCATATAGGAGCAGGGCTCGTTTGCCTTAGGAGCAGGGCTCAAGAAGCACTTATTGCTTTTAAACTTTAAATTAAAAATCAGCTGACTTCTGAGATGTTTTTTAAATGGAAAATTCTCTTTCTAGAAAAAAAATGATTGAGTTTTTCAGAGAGGTGTTGTTTAAAAGCTGGGCCAGACTGAAAGAAGGTCAACACATGGTAAAGCAGGATAAAACAGAAACTATAATATTAATTTGTTTAAAGCACACACACACACACACACACACACACACACTCATCCACACCCCTCTTCCTACTAAGCCTTAACGACTGCAGGATTTCAGTTAAGAAAACAAATCAAAACAAAAATATTTTTCAAAAGATGATTTTGGTGAGAAAAATGAAAACAGAGTTTCTGATAGAAATTGAATTCCAACTTTCTTTGTGGAGATTATAGCACAATTCCCTGATATATGTGACTGTTGGTTTTTCTAAAAGACATTTTCTAATGCAAATGCCAATATTTTGTGATTCTTGCTTTCAGATATGTCCCTAGAGACTACTGTTTTTCAGAGTTGCACAGTTGTAATCCAGAAACATGTGGCCTAAAAAACAAAACAAAACAAAACAAAATCCGTTTGATTGTCCTTATTTGGATTGGAATATTGCCAAGCAAAGTAGCGTCCTTGGCCTTATGAACAGCAGGATAGGCAGCTGATGGAGAGGTACTAATATCTCCTAAAAACACAATTCATAACTTCATTTGGTTAATGTGAAACAATCTGTTTTATAATTACCATGGTTAGAGCATAGACTCTGGATTTAGAAAGAGTCAGTTGTTCAAAGCCTCCACTCAATACTCTCTTTCTTTAACTATTTTCCTTGACATCTACAGTCCCTATA